GAATATACTGCTATACATCTGTATACAACACATAATGCTACACATCATATACCGAATATACTGCTATACATCTGTATACAACACATAATGCTGCACATCACATACCGAATATACTGCTATACATCTGTATACAACACATGATGCTACACATCACATTCCGAATATACTGCTATACATCTGTATACAACACATAATGCTGCACATCACACACCAAATATACTGCTATACATCTGTATACAACACATAATGCTGCACATCACATACCGAAAATACTGCTATACATCTGTATACAACACATGATGCTACACATCATATACCAAATATACTTCTATACATCTGTATACTACATGTGATGCTACACATCACATATTAAATATACTGCTATACATCTCTATACAACACATAATGCTACACATCACATTCCGAATATACTGCTATACATCTCTATACAACACATAATGCTACACATCACATTCCGAATATACTGCTATACATCTCTATACAACACATAATGCTACACATCACATATTAAATATACTGCTATACATCAGTATACAACACATAATGCTACACATCACATACCGAATATACTGCTATACATCAGTATACAATACATAATGCTGCACATCACATATTAAATATACTGCTATACATCTGTATACTACATATGATGCTACACATCATATACCAAATATACTTCTATACATCTGTATACTACATATGATGCTACACATCATATACCAAATATACTGCTATACATCTGTATACAACACATGATGCTACACATCATATACCAAATATACTGCTATACATCTGTATACAACACATGATGCTACATATCATATACCAAATGTACTGCTATACATCTGTATACAACACATAATGCTACACATCATATACCAAATATACTGCTATACATCTGTATACAACACATGATGCTACACATCACATTCCGAATATACTGCTATACATCTGTATACAACACATGATGCTACACATCACATTCCGAATATACTGCTAAACATCTGTATACAACACATGATGCTACACATCACATTCCGAATATACTGCTATACATCTGTATACAACACATGATGCTACACATCACATTCCGAATATACTGCTATACATCTGTATACAACACATGATGCTACACATCACATTCCGAATATACTGCTATACATCTGTATACTACATATGATGCTACCAAGAGGAACCATCATAAAAATGTCATGATTTGAATGGATGAGAGAGTGCCATGAGCTAAACTTTACATTGTCCGTACCTTTATGCGTGAATGCCATTTTGGAGAATTAAATCTTAGGAAAACCTATTTTAATGTAGCAAATTTCTTGATGGGAGTCTATGATCAGCATAAAGTATACATGTATACATACAAAGAGATTTTAAAAAAAATAATGTCTTATTAGATATCTTCATTACATAATTTTACAAGACATGAGTAGTAAAAGGTATGGAAATATTTCTTACAGTTACAGCTGAGAAATGTTTAAATAGAAATCTTATGCTGGACTAAACGTACTGTCATTTAATATGATGTAAAAATCGTACAACAATTGTGATGATTTTAATTTGACTTGTGTTCGTATTTACAGTTTTATTAATATCAACCAAACAACAAATGCATATATTAAGAACTAATTCTGTATTGACAACTGGATGATGATGACCTCAACCTCAAGATAGGAGATGCTTTCAGCAACTGCTATCGTGTGTATCATTACCTTTAAGTTGAATAAGAAATACAAGCTGCCTTAATGTATTGGATCAAATTTGAGAAGGTGTTCTCGGCGTGCAAGTGATATATTCAATACATATCAATATTCATGTCAAGATGTACTGTTAGGACTGTTTGAACTGAAAGTCAGTAACAGAAAAGAATGAAAACGAATGGTTTCTTAACAGAAATATAACATAATATTGACCTAGAATACAAAGTGAGAATATGTGTGTGTGTGTGTGTGACTTGGTTTGTAAACATTTCCTTAATAATGTTTAAATATATTACTTAAATACTTGTAGTGTGTCAGTTTATAATGGTGTATAAAACTGGGGACAGTTTATAATCGTGTATAAAGCTAGGGATAGTTTATAGTGGTGTATAAAACTGGTGAGTTTATAATGGTGTACAAAACTGGGGACAGTTTATAGTGGTGTATAAAACTGGGAACTGTTTATAGCAGTGTATAAGACTGGAGACAGTTTATAGTGGTGTATAAAACTGGTGGACAGGTTATAGTGGTGTATAAAACTGGGGACATTGTATAGTGGTGTACAAAACTGGGACAGTTTATTGTGGTGTACAAAACTGGGGACAGTTTATAATGGTGTATAACACTGGGACAGTTTGTAGTGGTGTATAAAACTTGGGACAGTATTTTATAGTGGTGTATAAAACTGGGGACAGTTTATAGTGGTGTATAAAACTGGGACAATTTATAGTGGTGTATAAAACTGGACAGTTTTATTGTAGTGTACAAAACTCTTGGGACAGGATATAGTGGTGTATAAAACTAGGGACAGTTTTTGGTGGTGTACAAAACTGGAGATAGTTTATAGTGGTTTTTAAAACTGGGGACAGTTTATAATGGTGTATAACACTGGAGACAGTTTATAGTGGTTTACAAAACTGGGGACATTTTATAGTGGTTTCTAAAACTGGGGACAGTTTATAGTGGTGTATAAAAATGGACAGTTTATAGTGGTGTACAAAACAGGGGACAGGTTATAGTACTGTAATAAGCTGGGGACAGTTTATAGTGGTGTACAAATGTGGGTGACAGTTTATAGTGGTGTACAAAACTGGGGACAGCTTATAATGGTGTATAACACTGACACAGTTTATACTGGTGTATAAAATTGAGGACAGTTTATAGTGGTGTACAAAACTGGGGACAGTTTATAATGGTGTACAAAACTGGGGACAGTTTATAATGGTGTATAACACTGGGGACAGTTTATACTGGTTTATAAAATTAGGGACAGTTTATAGTGGTGTATAAAACTGTGGACAGTTTATAATGGTGTATAAAACTGGGGCCTCAACCACTAAGGCCACTAGAATGGTCAAAATGTAGAAATGATTTACACTATCGTAATTTTAATTTCAATTAGTCCAAACACTTATAACACAAGTCCAAAAGTATAGGATATACCAAATAAATTCCAGTGGTGTTCTGAATGACTTAGCAATCTTGAAAGTGCTGATATACCAAGAACTTGGAATAGCCTAGGATAATGTTGATATGCTAACATCTTGATAAATCACAATGATTTCATCCAAAATGTATGTTTTGGATTCGTTTGTGTATTTACAATAATAAATATTGCATGCATTCCTTGATGAGTTTTAGTTACATGTTTTCCCTCCTTGTTTCATAATTATGATACCGTTCTTTACACATATATCTTTGGGGGGGGTTTCTACTGCATTGGTTATGAATTATTATAATGTAAACCTGGTTTCAGTTTGAGACATAATCCAGACTTCGTGTGTCGTTATCCAAATATATAAATTCAATGATTTCATTTATTTATTGTTATATCATTATGTGTTTTGTGTTAAAGCATACACTATAAGTATATTATTTTCTTATTCGTCATGAAGGTGCTGCATCATGCTATAGCACATTCGTCTAGCTAACAAGGAATAGTCTGTATTGCTGTAACAACACTTCAATCCAAGATGTGTAATACACGGGAAAGAATGCGAAAAAGGACCAAAATGATTCTCCATTATGCAAATATTTCTGTTTTTTTTTTTTAAATGTTCGTTTGTAAATATGTTAGTGTAAAAAATGCTGAAAATGCCGATATAAGTTGCAGGATGGATATTTCTCATAATAAGTTTTATAATCCTTGCATAGAAATAAATGCTATATAGGGATGCTTACTGTCACCTATACTATTCAACATTTTCCTGGAAAGTATCATGAAGGCTGGTTTGTATGAGCACAAGGGCAATGTCAGCATTAGAGGAAGAACAATCACCAACCTTCGCATCGTACATGATATTGCTTATTTAGCAGGAGATGGAAAAGAACTGGCAGACTTGGTTGTGCGCCTCGCCACAGCATACACAGCATATGGAATGGAGATTAGCGCCGAAAAACGAAACTGATGCTAACACCTGGAACGTCAGTGCAGAAATGACGGTCAGTAGACAGAAACTAGAAAAAACCATAAGCTTCAAGTGCTTGGGATCAATTATCACAGATGAAGGCACCAAAACAGAACTACATTGCAGGATTGCAAAGACAACAGCAGCAATAACAAGGTTGAGCCCAATACGGAAAGATACTGATATTACTTTTGGTTCCAAATGATGCTGTTGCACTCCATTGTTATGTCCATCTTTCTGTATGCTTTTGAAAAATGGACGCTCACATTTGATTTACAAAGAAGTATTCAAGCCTTCAAAATGAGATGCTACTGCAAAATCTTGGCCATCTCATACATTGACCATGTAAGCAACAAAGAAGTCCACAACAGGATCCAACGAATCATCGGATCCTATGAAGACCTCTTGACCACTGTAAAAAGTATAAACTGAAGTGGTACGGTCATTTGTCAAGAACATCTGGTCTGGCCAAAACAATCTTGTAAGGAACATCGCGAGGATGCAGAAGAAGAAGCAGACAGAAAAGAGGTGGAGGGATAACAGTAAGGAGTAGACAGGAATGGAATTTGGAGGTTACATAAGGGAGGTAGTGACTAGGGAAAGATGAAGAGGATTGGTTGTGGGGGATGATTTAATGTTTTAACAGTAGCTTTAAGAATTTTTCAGTTGTATCTCTGCAATGATTACGATGTGACAGTTTTTTGTGGTGACGTTTAGCATTGGAGCATCATGCCGCAGACATGTAGCACGATGTCCCATATAGTCACATTATCCTGACACCAGGCCGAGCTGACAATAACCTCTTAAATTTGAGCGACAAAAGAGGCGGCTGTTAGTGGCAATTTTAATGGTCTTGGCATGACTCTGCAGGGGTTCGAACCCGAGACCTTCCACATCCAAGGTGGACGTTCTATCACTAGGCCACCTAATCGGTCCAACGACCTTTTGGATTAGGGGAATGATCCATGATGATCCATGAGGAAATGAGCGCACATATTAAAGTTATACACTTAGTAATAAATGTTGAAATTACATTATTATAACATGTTATCTAAATGTATCAAATTTGATTGTTTTGAACTTTTGTTTGAGCAAAATAAAAACATTTCAGAGCAATAGAGTACCAACAGAAATATGTTTTACTAACAAGTTTTTCATGTGAAATCACTGCTAAAGCTAACATCTGTACCTTCAAACCACACGTTTTTCATTTGAAAATATAAAAATAACTATTAAAACTAACATCTGTGCATTCAAGATTGTCTTAAAACAAACCAGTGATAGCATTATCCCACTATAGTAAACTAAGTTCATTCTATGTCAAATCGAATTGTTCCTGTATATATAAATCGTATTTAGGTTAATGGCCAATTATTCCTTTTTTTGATTTGATGTGTTCCTACAGATGTAAACTGTTCAACTTGTTTACTTTCGTTTACTGGCTTCAATTCATATTTTGTATTACTGTAATGATGAGGCCAACAATTTTACACAATGTTTACCATGCATGTTGATGATATTCGCTGGTATCTGTTACGATTAAAGCAGGTTAACGAGTACCTTGGATGGGTCCTTGGTATGTTTATACGGATTAAACCTTATTTGGTAAACGGTTGAGCAAATCATTTTTAAAATGGCATTGTGGTTTTGGGAATGTAAGATCTAAAAGTAAACGGTGATAGTTTATAGGTTAAAAGTGCAAATCAAGAGTGAAAACTAAAAAGAAAAAACTGAGGAGGCTGCAGATGTAGAAAGACGTCTGGAACAATTTATGACATAGCATGTTACGAGGCAAAATTAAAGGACCCTATTATGGCAAAATGTCCATGGTGCCAGATTAAGACCTATTAAAAATGAAAAATCTAAAGCTCAGTTAAAGCTAAAAGAAATTGAAAATTTACCTACACAAATTCAAACAGACGATACAAATGCGGATATAGCTAAACGTACCCGTGAAACCAAAAGGGAATTTCGTAATGATGACGCCACTCATGTATGGTCAACATTAAGGATATGACGAATGACAAAAGAGGAAAAGTAATTATTAATAACATTGATAATCAAAAATATTTCATTTTAATAAAGTTTATTGTAGAGACAGATGATGATATTTGGTTAATTCATGATAGGAGTACCCCTGTACATGTACAGTCGGGAAATAATATCGTTTCATTGAATAATAAATCCAAACCTGGAATACTTACTGGTCTTGATAATACGTACTATGAACAAGGTTATTCAGCAATTGCAATTGTCTACGCAATATATTCGCTAAATGATAAACCTAACTCGGTAACACTGAATGGGTGACGTTGAGGATAAAACAAGAAAATATACTTGTTATTCTGTATCTTCCGACGTTGAAATTAAGGACATATATTAGAAAACTAATAATCAAATATCAAAGTCATCTGCACCATCTATGTACGATCATGTGACTAGATATAAAAATGTTAATCTTAATGCATTTGGTGGTTCAGGTAAAACAACTCGTGCGATTAACTTATTTATGAATAATAGTTTAGATACAATTGTTTTGACACCTACACATAAACTTGCTAACGAAATAAAATAAAGAGGCGTGAAATCATGAACATATCATAGTTACTTTATATGGTGCGGAGGAGACACGTTGACTCCTGAGCGAATGGGTGAAAAATATAAGTATATTATATGGAACAAGATATGCACTGTGTTGTTAGAAACACTAAAATCATTTGTTGAATGGTTATTGACAAAGAATACTCCTCTTATTATATTTCTCGATCAACCAACAATCATTGTTGAACAGTACCCACATGAATGGCTAAAGAATAATGTAGATTATTATGAGAAATATATGATGACCATAGAGCTTTTTATGAGCCGCTTTATGATCTTAAGCAAACATCGACCAGATAAAATGCAATGTGAGATCATGCGTAAAGTAATCCCAGACACAACTATGAATGGTTTTTGGACTTCATGGAGACCTGCTGATTTGATAGTGGCAAGAAGAAAGAATGTTCGTGATGAACTGCAAAAGAAATTATTTACGTTGTATAAAGAAACGTTTTCAACGTTAGCTGTACCTTTGTGTTATCACCCAGCAGATAGTCGTCGACAGAATATTAGACAACCATGTTGATAAAGTCGCTCAAACGCAGAAACAACTTCAGATGCTGTCTTTGTTGACAATGGCTCCGCTTCTTTATATCTTCTTGCAACATCAACAACAGCTAATACGTATTTGTACGTGCTTGATTTTCTTCCACGTGTTTTAGCAGTATCGTGTGGTAGAAACAATACATCTGCTTGATGAACTTCATTGGGGATGCTGACCTCAAAATGTGAGCATTTAAATTTTTTAGGTGGTGGTAGATAAATTTGCCATATTGCCTGTTGTTCTCACCGTGATGCAGCAACAATACATGAAACTTTTGCTGATTGAGCAAGTTTACTGATTGATACTTTATCTCTCCAATATCAATATCGGGGAATAATTAATGGATTCTATTATAATATTTATATAAATACTTACCAGACCCAGGCATTATTTTACCTTTCATTGCAGATTCTACTAAACAGATTTATTAGGTATAGCATTTAGCGCATGAATCGATTTCACATCTGCAAGATGCCTCTGCTGCAAAACTTTACTTTTATAAGCAACGTCATAAACAGGACCTACTTGACCAATCTTATTTACTGGATATTCTCCTGGTCTTAGTTGATCTTGATCATCAAGTCGGATATCAAGTCGAGTTCCAGGACCAAAGTATTTTTATCCAGGAAGGTGTTCCTCGCCGAGGTATTTGGCCGACAGAGCTCCTGGCAATTTTCCTAATGATGCGTCTATATCACCACCACTAGTTATTTGCGAAGCGGATATAAATTTATATTTTTTGTACTACAATTTGCACATTTACCCGTAATTGCATGTCTTTTATTTTTGTTGTTATCATTGTCCATCAAACGGTGGGGTGGGTACTCTGCACCGAACACGATATAATATCATATTATTTATTATATGGATAAAATTGACTTTTCAGCGACACGAAAACAAGAACCAGTAAAACACCATCCAGCGCTTCCGAACTCCATTAGAATGATTATAATAGGACCAACTGGATCTGGTAAAACACAATTATTGCTTAACCTGATAATGCGGTGGATTAAGTGGGATAAATTATATTTAGTGGCACTCTCTGTAGATGATCAAAGATGCTACGAAGTACTTAAATATTATAACGAGAATGCAAAATTATTGAATCAACATGGCAACGATATTGTTGATTTTATCATCCATATTTATGAAGCCCCATTCGTAGATGACTTAGATGGATTCATTAATAACTTTGTAGTATACGATGATGTGATGCTGGACAAACAATCCAATCCAGCTAGAATATTTTCTAGAGGTAGACAAAAAGTGCGTACGTCATTTACACAACGATATACACAAACACCTAAGGTGATCAGAGATAACTGTAAAATTTTGGTTGTGATTAATGGCGTAGATAATTACACTTTACAGAAAATTTATTATACATGGTGTTCAGGAGATATGGGCATGATTAAATTTAAATAAAAATTTCAAAAGAACAAGCTATTCCCTTCGGATTCATAACAATACTTTTATATGACCCAAGACCAAGGTACCATATAGGTCTGGATAAAATCTTTGGTTAATTCATAGTAGCTGGGAAAAATTGGGTGACCAGACAAGTAAATGAAATCGCATACAAATTTTAAAATATAGTCAAAAATGGTTTAAGAAAACTGAGATAACTAAAACAATTTATTACCGGTTCTTAACCTTTTGAAATAGACAAGTTAGAGGCGCTGGTTTAACGTTATTGACCTTGTTCAACCCTTGTAGGAACCCTCATGTTTGCTTACGGAGTCGAGCAAACAGTTGTAGGGTTCACCTAACCTGCTGCTAAACAGAACTCTGGAAAAGATATTTTAGCATCAGTGAAGCAATATCCCTGTTATCTGAAGTGCGAACACCAATCCCTCGATAACCCGCACCCTAAAATCTCGCGACCAACATATAATGCTGGGACAGACTTGGTTCCCATTTTGTAAACCTGAAAATACCCCAAAAATTTTTTATCCTTATTTATCGGAATCAAAATTAGTAACGGAAACCTTGATATTTCGCTAACTTTATTCCCGAAATGGAAGATAGGACCTGAAATTTTGATCAACATTATAAAATATCAAATTTAAAAGGAACTCATTTTTTTACACTTTCTTCTTTCCGTCTTACACCGCAATTAACAATTTGCAAGGAAATTTCGATCAATGAAAATGTCACGCCGAGTGGAGGCACTACTTTAATAAATAAATATAAATTAAATATTTTTTATCAATTGAAATGTATGTTCTAGTTTTATCATATTGTTCATTTTAAGTGCAATCATCATAAATGCAATGTGTCCTCTTGTAATTAAACGAACAATGTGTCAATCTACCCTAACAGCTATGTCTGCGAGCGTTTCTCTGAGAACCTTATTAGGTACAGACTTTTGATGACTGACATGTGGAAGTATTTGCTATCTTGCTGTATTGAATTAAACGCTGGCCTCCTTTGTATTATCTCATTAATTGTGTCTTATAAATCAAAGTAGCTGGAATAAAAGAAATCGCACGGAAATCACACAAACAAAAGCGAGATCGGCAGGAGATGAGATGAGATGGAGCGGAGGAGAGGTAGCAGCCTTTGAAGAGGACGGACGTGTTTACCAGGAGCTCCAGGAGAACAAAGGAAACAGAAGAAGAAAGAAGAAAGAAGAGAAGAACAAAGGAACAGAAGCAGAAAGAAGAAAGGAACAGAAGAAGAAAGAAGAAAGGAACAGAAGAAGAAAGAAGAAACAGTCAGGAAGGAAACAGAAGAAAAGTAGACGCAAGTAACATTCAAATTCTTTTATTCACGATATATCGTAAAAGA